TAAATGCTTGAGACAATAAGAAACATAAAGTTGACTGTTGAGTTGCTCAGTTTTTTTAGATTGTCAATACTATTACTGTATAACTAATATCTCAGGTTAAGAGGCACATTCAAATAAAGATTGGTCTTTAAATACATTTTGTCTTTTGAATTGTTTGTCTAAAGTCAAGGATCTAGAACTGGTACTTAGTTTTAATGATAGTCTGGTTATTATGCTGTTTGGAGGAGGCCTCACAGGTAAGAGTACTAACTAGCTACCATCACATGTACCTTAGCTTGACTTAAATGTATTAAACGTATAGTTAAGTGATATCAAAATATAAATAACTAATGTCATGCAAACATATTAATATTTGCTTGATTCCAGTGTTGAATTTAGCACAATTGCATACAAACGTTAAGGGGTTTTAAGATTCTGAAGTATTATGCTAAAAGCTCAATAACTTAGATTATTATTTATAGTTTTGCTGAATAGTTTCATGTCCGCTTACCTTAGAAACGTAAAATGCGACGGCAGCGTGCAGATGGGGAGCATGTCAGTTTAGCTTGGTAGCTTCAGCTAGCTCTGGAACTTCCAGCTCGGTGGCAGCAGGTCCCGCCTCGGCTCCGCCTCTTTGCCCTTATTTGGAGCAGGCTGGAGAAGGCGGGAGTTGAACTCTGGCGTCACTGTCGAGCCGTTAGTGGCCGACTCCGCTACTAAGGGCTTCACGGCAACTGCAGAATCCTATGGGTGACGTCACGGACCCTACGTCCATTTATATATACAGTCTATGGTCCCGCCTCGGCTCCGCCTCTTTGCCCTTATTTGGAGCAGGCTGGAGAAGGCGGGAGTTGAACTCTGACGTCACTGTTGAGCCGTTAGTGGCCGACTCCGCCTACTAAGGGCTTCACGGAAACTCTGCATAATCTTATGGGTGACTTCACGGACCCTACGTCCATTTATATATAGGCCTACAGTCTATGGTTTTAACACGTCTTTTTGTTTGCAGTTCTCTTTGCTTCTTTCTCAATGATCAGACTTTTGCTCTCACTGCAGCTTTCTCATTTGTGCTCCCTCATTTTTTGTTTTCAATTCTGACACAAACGTCCCAGGTAGGCGGGACTTTCAGGGAGTGCGTCCCCATTGGCTACTAAGTTTTTGAGTTACAGCTCAGTTCTCCAGCGATTGTACGTGCAGGCAGCTGCGGTGCGGTAGTTGAGCGTGGACAGAAGACCCCCAGAAGAACCAGCATTTCAATTATTATAATACTAGTGAAAATATATGTAAGTATTGATCATTTGTGTTGTTTGTGCTGTACTATACGGTCTGTTTCTTTATTGTGTTAGTAAGTGAGAAGTAAAGAAAAGCTGTGTTATGAAAATGACTGCCCCACAATGCATTGCAGCCACAGCATTTGCCGTCACTCAACAGTCGGCCATTCACGGAAACAACCGATTATGACCGAGAAATGATATCATGAAAGTTACGGTGCTTATTAAGCATTTTAAAACGTATGTGGTAAGTTGCCAAAGTGCTTTTTTCTGAACGTTCATCAGTATTATAATCAAAAAGAGAAATATGAACGTTAGTTTTTACTGAAATGATCAAATAAAGTCAACATCTCACAGTCTTTACTGAGCTGTGTGGGATTTGTTCAACTTTTAAAAGATGTTTGAATGGTGATATACACAGTGATAGATGTTAAGGACTAACGTTTATAATAAATACATTTGTATTTATTTTAAGATCTTGTTATAGTTCATACAATCATACGTATTGGGATCATTTGTATTAATGTGGACCGGAGGGAGAGGGTGACGAGCATAAGTTTCACTTTCCTTTTTTATTTCAATTCCAACTTTGGTCATGAAGAATATGTTTCTCTGTTGTCCACGTTCATAAAGCATAAAGCAACAGCATCAGAGCACAGTGCAGAGTCTCTAGATGAGTTTACAGTAGTCCCTCGTTCTTATTAAACATCCATGTTGTAGTCCGCTGTATAGAAAACTGTAGTTTCCCCACAGCAGCAGACGCACATTCATGACGTCCGCTGGCGCATCATAAACACGTCGGATAGTGAAAGTGCATTCGGATTCTCTAAAGTATAATATTTGAGAGAAATGGTTATCTTGTGTATATAGAAAATGTTTTAGATCTTTGAGTTCATCTCGTGAAAAATGGGAGCAAAAACAAAAATGTTGCGTTTATATTTTTGTTCAGTGTAGATGTGTTTTTTTTATCTATAAAATAAATAGACAGACACTTTATCGATCCCAAATTGGGAAATTATTTAACAGCAGCAGTGTGTTCAGGTATTAAAATATTTATAGTTGGAATAAAGTATAAACTACACAACACAAGTCTAATGCACAGCAATCCATAAGATAAGTCCGATATGTTCATGAAAACTCCCCAGGACTCCGGAGTTTGCTGCATGAGTTGCACTGTATGATCTGTGGTGTAGTGGGCTGTCACTCAAAAACTGAGTAGCCAATGGGGACACACCCCTGAAAGTCCCGCCCACCTGGGATGTTTGTGTCAAAATCGAAAACAAAAAATGAGGGAGCGCAAACGAGAGAGCTGCAGCGAGAGCAAAAGTCTGATCATTGAGAAAGAAGCAAAGAGAACTGCAAACAAAAACCTATGTTAAAACAAAGAAAAAAGACTTATAGTTTACATGATTACACAAATGATTTGTTTGCAACTTATAGTTTTAATTTTGAAATTAAATTAATTTTGCTTGACTCTGTTTTCTTTTCTCTTAAACTCTTAGTTTTGCTTGATTCTGAGAAAGTGCTGCTTTACCTTTATGATACAAAACTAATCCCATAAGAGAGAGGCTATAAGAAGTTATCTGAATGGCTTGTTTCACTCATTTCAAATTACAAATGTTTCAAACATCTTTTGCTGACTTTCACCAAATGGCAATATTTCTATTAAAAAAAGGGAAAATGAATATGTTGTAATTGCCATTATTAGTATGGCCATTAACTTAGAAAACCTAGCTTCAACTATCAAAACAGAAGCAGCAAACCTCTCAACAAGAGCTAGGCTAAGGTTCTCCACTGAGAGTGAATCCCCATTTTTAACATTCAGAACAACAGCTATTTAAATGTTTTATTTCAATAGGTTTGCTTCATATTCCCTGTGAGTTGTTAAGGCATTCAAAAGAGACAGGCTGGAGAAATAAATACAGAAAATGGCGGCATTAAACACAGCCCTAATCTGAAAAATAGATGTACTGTATGTTGTTCGCCTTCTTCTCAGATTCTTCATGGTATGGTAGGAAGTCATATTAAAACCGAAAAATTGTCTACAAAAGAAGATGCTTTGACAAATGTGACAGTGCAGTGCTCACTTGGACCTTTAGCTAATGGATTGCTAACACTTTGTCAACACACATTTGTGTATGCACAGGCTGCACACTGGTGTAGCCTAGCCTAGCTAATTACCATAGACTGTATAGTTACATTAATGACAGCACTGTTCCAGCAAATAATACAATGCAGCAATTCATTTGACTAATTATACGCTTGTGTTTGTCAAGTCATAACGACTGATAACAAAAACTCACTATTTACCCCTGGCCATGTGCCCACTCTTTGTTGCAAGTCTATTTTAAATGGAAATATTTATTTCCACATCTCTCTAATAGGCCATTTTCATACACTGTGTCCACCTGCTAGGCTTTGAACTTCTCTAAATGCTTGCAGAGAAAGAGTTGTCTCCTTTTTTCTCTTCTCTTTCTCTGTCGCTGTATTCTTTTGTATCCCAAATATGTAGGCTACTAACCCAGCTTTCCTGGAGTTTTTTGTTGTGCCTGTCACCTGACTCAGGTTCCTGAGTCGTGGCTGTTGCTGTAGTCCTGAGTCGTTGGTCCTGAGTTGTGGCTGTGCCTGTGGTCCTGAGTCGTGGCTGTTGCTGTGGTCCTGAGTCGTTGGTCCTGAGTTGTGGCTGTGCCTGTGGTCCTGAGTCGTTGGGCCTGAGTTGTGGCTGTGCCTGTGGTCCTGAGTCGTTGGTCCTGAGTTGTGGCTGTGCCTGTGGTCCTGAGTCGTTGGTCCTGAGTTGTGGCTGTGCCTGTGGTCCTGAGTCGTTGGGCCTGAGTTGTGGCTGTGCCTGTGGTCCTGAGTCGTTGGTCCTGAGTCGTTGGTCCTGAGTTGTGGCTGTGCCTGTGGTCCTGAGTCGTTGGTCCTGAGTTGTGGCTGTGCCTGTGGTCCTGAGTCGTGGATTTCCCTGTTGCTGTGGTCCTTCCTGATGCTGACACTACTTTTTTGATGGCACCCGGGAGATTGACATCGACCTGGATCCATCTTCATCTTATATATTAATTAATGTTTCTAGCATTTGGAATGTTTATGTATAAATATATTATCTTTTACATCACACCCTTTGCACGTCTGTCCGTTCTCTGTTGCTCTCCCCGAGATTTCTTAAATGTTTTCTCCATTAACTGTGGGGTTTCTTTGGAAGTTTTTCCTTGTCCGATGTGAGGGTCTAAGGACAGGATGTCATATTCATATTCTGTATAAACTGTAAAGCTCCCAGAGACTAATTTAGAATGTTTGATATTGGGCTATATAAATACACTTTGATACCTTGATTGACACTTTGGGGAATGAAGTTTATCAAATGCTTTCTTTGTTCCAAAATTGGACCAAACACCTCACAAAGCCACTTCTATAGACATAGCTTCAAAGACTTCAACGATGAACCCTTCTGTAGCTTAAATAATCCCCCATAAATAATCAGAACATGATATATTATTTACATTCTAAGCCATAGGCTAAATGTGCCCCTAAATTGTAATGTATTACTGAATTGTACACAACTATCACTTGATAGTTCAGGGCATCGGGAACACTTAAAATCAACATAAAACAAACTAAAATGCTGGCCTCATTTAGGCGGAAAGCTACAATGTTTATATTAGCCTTATTTATTATGTCTCAATATTACTGACATACTTTGAATCTGACGGTAATACCGGTAATCGACATGGATAAGAATAAAGAAAACAGCGATTGAAGCAAAAGATCTTTTTTTATTCAAAGTGAATCCTGACATAGTACACCATCAATTAATAATTTGACACTCACTAATAAAGAGTCACCAAGAAGGAACCCGCTTTGTGTGACAAGGTACATAAGGCTTGGTCACATTGAAACTCACTGAGAACTAGAGGGGGGGGGGGGGGAGAAAAACGACCGCAAACTGCTAAGACACACATTATTACATCCAAACAATAATCATTTTCCCAGTCCTCATATGTTTGTATATTGCACAGTGCAGTTGCTACATTGTCAAACTAGTGTAGCATTAAAGAATACAATTAAATCAAAAAAATTAAAATCATAAAGCCACACAAGATCTACGCATATTTAGAACAGTAACAGTTTCAATTTTAGCAAATCATGTCTACATATTTGTGTCTAAATACAATAACCCGATAATTATAGTCGTGGTACAAAATCTACCTAAAACATGTTTTAGGAGTCAAATTTCACACGGCTTATTTTTAAGCCCAGAACCCGGATGAGATGTTCAGTCCTATGTTTGTGGTGGATTTGTCATGCATTTGTGTTTATTCAGGCCCCGTGTCTTTAAGTACTGCACATTATTCTTTGTGAGCACATAAAACATTCCATGAGTTTCTTAGGATTCTGTAAATATGTTTCCAGAAGTTACCTAAGGCCAACTAACAAACAACTATAGCATTTTGTGATGTGAAAATAGAGTAATGCAGTTATGATGTATATTTGTACGGGACCTGGAAGTTAACCATCACTAAGCTAAAGGGGACTTATGTTCTGTGTGAGGACACTTAGTAGCCTTTTTAAATCACTTAGTGGTTAGCAACAGCTGTTTTTTTTTAATAGAGTTGTAGAAGCTTGGGACATTCACGAGTGGGTCCTTACTGATGTCATAGAACAAAGCGTGTGCATCTCTAAAGCCTGTGTTGACTACAGAACTTATTTCAGGCGTCTAATGAAAAACACGTTAAAAGAAACGTTTACTTCGAGACGGGGGAATCGGAAATAATGAAATGCTAACTCATCTCTGGGTTTTAGAACTCATTGCTGCACCACTCAAGTAGCTGAGTGAAAACTGGTCCTAAACTCTGAAATATTGTGTATGAATTTAACTCGATCCTTTTTTTCATTCCATGTGAGAGGAACACATTCCCCCCTCCCCAACGTGTTACTTAAGACTGCTGGCTTTAGATCTATGACCTGCTTATTCTGATGATGTAACCGTCGGTATGGTGGAGGGATTATAAGCAATCAACCCAGAGTGGTGGGGGATTACGGCGGTGAGTTCATCTCATCACAGGTGCTGAGCTGACAAAGACTGGAGCCATATGAGAATCAACGCGAGGCTGAACACCACGGGGTTAAAAAAACAAAAACAAACAGAAGATTAAAGTACAGATTACTGTGCCACACATATTAATGATAACTCCAGGCCGTACTGCTGAACAGTGCATCCTCACGTTCGTCTAAGCATCGTCAACACAGTAGCATATTAGACGAGCACACAAAACACACCCTTTGCTTAAGCAACATAACCATTACAATGCAATACATAAAGAAAAGCACAATGACAACAAATATGTGCTCAGCTTCTCATCAATAATTAGAAACATCTGTTTTTTACGTTTAAGCACATTTCCTGGTATAACTACCACATTTTTTGTAGAAATATAACTTTTTTTATTTATCCCAAAATATAAGGATTTAATGTGTGTTATAAAAAGACACTGAGCTTTTCTTTTTGTCATGTGGCAGCCGTTGTACACGAGGGGACAACTTTAGACCTAAACTTTGAATATAATTGATGGGTAAAGCATTTTGAAAGACGTAGAACACATGATCTCCCTATGGTAATAGCTGCATACAAGAACTATCAACGTCTCAATCACAAGACGAGTGAAAACGCTGTGTAGCCGTCATTTGCAAACCAAAAACAGAGTTGTGTCACAAATACATTCACTATGTGAGAATAAAGCTTTGCATTTGTGTATATTCAGGCCCTGTGTCTTTGAGTACTGCACGTTGTTCTTGGTGAGCGCAATAAAACATTTCCCTGACTTGTACTTTCTTAGGATTCTGTTAGAAGAAGAGGATTGTTTCTAGACCTCGTCTTAAGTCCAACAAACAAACAACTTTGGGGTTTTGTGACGTGAAAGTAGGAGCTGATCCCCTCGGAAGGAACTAGTCTACAAATGTGCGACTGCTTTGATACGGGTCAGTCGCTAGTTTAAGGAAAGGCACTAGTTGTACAGTACGAAGAGTTGCAAATACAGTCCAATAAAACGGAAATAAAAGCCATGTCATCATCAAAAAATAAAATACATAAACGACACACCGGTTACAGAATCCAACAGTGAACCCAGCCTACGTTTGAAATACTGACGCTAAACACACACACACCAAAAAGCAACAGAATATTACAGAAAAAACTTCCATTACAGCAGTTTACAATCACTTCAAAACAAAGCCAATATACAGAGGCACTAGCATATAGGAATAGCATTCAATATACTATATAAGAGAAAACCCACTTCTATTGTATCTAGTAATCAGGACTACAATACAAAAAAGGCTAGAATGAGATTATTCCTCAAAATTCACAGCTACGAAGTGGCAGATAATCAGTACATAGCAGCTTATTATCTATACATTCCAAATACGATTAGCCCACATAGCTCAGAAAAATAAAAACCTCAAACTCATTCTTTTTTTTTTAAATAGAGATCTCACAATATATTCCAATTTGCAACAGTACGCTGGAGGTGAAAGGAGAAATAGTATTGACCATGCTTTTTATAGAAATGATTAATGAACAGTCTTTGGTACTGATTGGAGTAAAATACCAGCTGATATGACGGGTAGACACAGCTATACTACACACTGGAAATCAACAACAACACAACAACAAATCAAGGCTATGCATCCACCCTGAAGGAATGTATTAAAAACTGACAACAGGCTTCAATACATGGACAAAAAATAATAATATTTCAAACAATTACCGATACACCTCTAACACTCAATAGGCCAGCAATGATACTGTAAGTAGATAGGTTATCAAACACTGAGAAGCATTTAAAAGTCAAAACATAGTCTATGCCACTCCCAAAAAACTAATAATGCTAAATTATAAAAACACAGCAACCCAGAGGCTATCTAGATTGTATTGCAGTTACAGTAAACAGTGACAATACTGTTATGAATTAAGTACTATCGTGAATAGAAATTGATTATCAAAATATCAAATCACTCTTTTATGTACATTAAAAGCTCATTCAGTCAAAGCCCTAAATGTGCAGCCTCTAGTTAAAGTAAATCCATACTCTGAGTTAGAAAGCAAACTGAAAGTATTAAAAACACATAACCACAAGCGTTATTTATCCAATAAGCCCATCATGTTCAGAGTCTGAAGGCTAAGTGCTGCAAGCCCGTTTTTTTAAATGTACAATCTGAAAAGCTCCTGAAGTAACGTCAGAGACTCTGGGTCTTAAGGCACAAGGCGACGGCAGCAGTAAAGTCTGCCTCCAAACATAACAGGAGCGTCCAATCCTGTTAATACAGACTGTGATGGCTTAACACAGAGATCTGAGCGGCTAGCACGCGCTACAAGGCAACAAAGATAAAGGGGGCTGGGGGGGGTACCTTGACAGCAACAACAACAAATCCTCCCCCGCCGAAAATTAGATCTCTGATCACTTCTTAAACGAACGAACGACAGGAGGTAATGTGCAACAGACTCGTTCTTAATTATAATTTCCTTATCATACTCTCTTGTGATGCTCTCTAATAAAGCTTTGATTAATAACTGTCTCATGATTTCGCAGGAAGTCCGTCACCTTCTGACAATCAAACACGATCATTGACGTGATCCTACATTTCTACGTCCTCGCAAAATCTGAAAATCTTCAGCATTGCTTCTTTTTTTTTTCTTGTACACCCTTCGTCTCCTCCTCCTTACAGGTGTCCGTGTTGTGCTCTGCTGCTGGCTCTCCCCGCCCAGGTGGCAGCGCCGCTCCACTTCCCGTTGCCCCTCCTCACCAGAAGGTAGTGCTGCGGCCCCCCCCTGCTCCTCAGATATAGGAAAACTGGGGGTGGTGGCTGAGCTTGGTGGGGCTCAGAGGGAAGCCTGTGTAGGCGGCGGGGGAGGCCATGTACGGGTGTGGCGGCGGGAACGGGGGCTTGAACTGGTGGGGGTGGTGGTGGGCGTAGCCGGGCTGGTGGTGCGGGTGGATGGTGGGGGAGGGGAGGAGCCTGTGCGGGTGGGGGACCGGGTGTCCAGGGTGGTGGCTGATACCCAGGGTGACCTGGTGCACTATAGCGCCGCCCTGTGGGTGGGAGAGACCGTAGCTGTGCTGGAGGAGGGGGGGAGGGCGAGAGGGCAGGATGGGGTGTGGGTGGTGAGCGTTGGGAGGGTAGGACAGCAGGGTGTGTGTGTGCGGGGCGGCAGAGGTGTGTGTGGGGCTGCTGTGCTGCAGGTGTGTGAAGGTGTGTGTGTGCACCGTGGGGGGGATGTAGGCGTGCGGTCGCAGCGGACCATAGTTGCCGTTCCACTCTTTGTTGCTGAGGTTGGAAACGTACGGCACCTGAAAGACATCATGATAAACACTCAGTCTCAGAAAGTCTGTTAAAGGAAAGGTTTCAGTTTTAGGGAACATTTATTTCCTTTTATTGGTGAGAATAAATCAGAAGGTTGATTAAGGCTTGTATTCTGTATGAAGCTTGAGCTAGCAGGTGGTTAGCTTAGCAAAAATACTGGAAGTAGGATAAATCAGACCGGTAAAAGAATTATGCATATTTACTGCTGCCTTGATAAATAAAACAATTTAAAAAGCGCATACAATCTCAATAAGGGTGCATTTGTATATCCAATGTGACGCTGTACACTTGATGATGTTGTTGTTTAAAGAAACAGAGCATTCTTTTTTTTGACATGGATAAACAAATAGATAAGTTTAAATACATGAAACAAAAACTATTACTCATATGTAGAATGCACAATGTGATGCCTCTTGCTTGTTAGTTGACAATGTATCAGATGAATATGATGCAACGTAATGGGGTTTGTTAGCTAGCTAAACCACTGTATGTGTTGGTACTTGTGGTTAGAGCTTAAGTGATACTACTTTGCATAGTGTCCCCAGCTTTAGCAAACCTTACTTGCAAAAGAAACAGTTCTAAAGCTTTTAAATGTACAGTTATTAAGTTATAACACTTATTCTAACGTTCACTAGCCAATTTGATGGATAGATGGCTACCGTCAGCTAGATAGCTACTGTTCGCTAGCTAAATAGCACAATGACAAGTTAATTGAGTTCAGTCTCTTGATTAACTTGTTTTTATAAATGTGAACACTGTGGACCTTTGTCTGGCAGTGAGTTATTATAAACTGTCCACATGAGTTGTAGTATGCAGTCTGACCTGCTGCTGTGATTTACAACGTATTGTAGTTCTTCATATCATAGCCAGTTACACCCAAAGGCACTAGAGTTATTAAAAATGTCCTCATTAGATTTTGGGCCATCATCATATGACATCCCACCAGCCACTTATGGCGCATTTCCACTGCAGCGCGTAGCACGGTTTAAGCGTTCCGTTTCAAACCCGGCCCGTTTTTTGTTGCGTTTCCACTAGGGGTAGTTCCGGCTAACGAATTGTTTCACAGTTTTTCTGGCTCTCCAAAATCCAGGTTCTTTCTGGGCCAACAACCGGGCTGAGTATGCTAAACTAGAGAGAATCGCTGGCAAGGGGGCTACAACTACAACAAAATGAACATATTTGACCGTGATTTAATTGTAATACACGTTTCTAAATGATGCCGAAGTAACAACATACTGATACCGGTTAGTAAAAACCATGAATTAATGCTTTGACAAGTCTGCAGACAGACGGCAGGCGAAAAACCTTTTTAAAATGCGTGTTTTCTGAATGGAGATCAGATCGACCAGGCTAAGCTAACGTTGTATATGCTTAAAGACATAAATAAACCAGCGACTGTATTCGCCATGATACAGGAAGTCTGTGGTTTGTACTTGTTTAACTTTTGTCTAGTTTCTGAACAGATATCAGGAGCTGTGAGCTCTGAGGGCTAACAGCTAACGGCTGATGTTGGTGTTGTATTTCTCATTGAAGATGACGTCACGGCTCCGCCTACACTGCGTTACTAGTTACTGCCCCAGTTCCTAAACTGTAATGGAAACGCAGCATAAAGTGAGCCTGGCCTACCAAGGCCTAACTATACCGTACTAAGCCGTGCGAGGCCCTGCAATGGAAATGCGCCATTACAGAGGATGGATGTGGTACTGTAAAACCACACATACATACGGAACTGACATATGTGTTTGAACCAGAAGTTGGAAAAGGGGCGGGACTACATAAGGTAAATATCAACACCATTAGTGCTCTCAAGCAGTGAGCTGCTCTAAATAATCAAATGTTACTTATAAACAGCTTTGAAACGGGACTCTGAAATTACAGAAGGGTCCAGCTTCTGCCGCTCGGAGTGACTATTTACGAAGGCAACCTAAATAGATGTCCGGCTGCAGCATAATCCCCCATTATGTAAATGCAGACAAAGGATAGAAGTGAACTGACCTGTCCAAAGCCCAGAGGGTGCTGCTGCTGGTGCCCACTCATGTTTTGCTGCCGGGAAAGGAGGGGGGCGGATGGGAGGAGGGTGTAGGAGGAGGGAGTGCTCTGTCCTATGAGGCTGCAGCGCCCTTTGGAGCGGGACCAGGATTCTGAGGACGGAACAGAGAGAAGACGGAAGTGAGTAAGGCGAGTATACTTATACAAAAAAAAAGGGGGCAGGTTTAGTCCACATGGCCTGCAAGTTGAAAGAAAAACTAAAACAAACACAAGCATGCACAAGAGAGAGAAAGTAGTTAGATGATTGTGTTCAATATAGATCATTTGAATGGTTTTATTTCAAAGTACAGAGGGACATTTTTTATTTGAAAAATGTTGCTAAATAATCAATCCCCCAATACTGTGCATAATGTGTAAACAAAAAAAATCCAATAAGTTATTTATTCTAAATGATGCAGCCCTATTAGCATACATTACAATAACTGATCAAGATGCCTCTCAAGCTACATTAATAATATAAACATGAAATTGTTAAATCAACATTGCATTTGTGATAATGAGTTGTAGTTGCTTTAAATATAGTACATATTTGAGGATTGTGTCCTCAGAGTAGCTTTTCAAGGCAGACAAATGCCGAACAGACTAGCATAGATGTGAGCGGCCCTCCCAAAAATCTCAGCTACCCTAAAGTAATTAGCACGGGAGAAATACAATTATGAATTTGAAAATGTGTTCTCCTGAGTGCTGATGGAGGACAATAAATGTAGCAGCACCAATCTGCAGCTAAATTGAACATTTCTGAGGGGGCTGTGCAATGCAGGGCAAAAAGATTATCACACAGAATTTGCATTCCAGAAAAAAGCAGGCAAAACTAAAGGGACAGCAAAATGTGGAGATTAGTCAATCAAGCTAATCTTCACATAATGCTCTCACACGGCAGCAACTGCATCCAAAATATTTTGTAACCGAAAAAAACCCTGTTCCTTTTAAATCATAGGATCACTGGAGATGCTAAGAATTAGCAGTTGAATTCTTAACATCTGCCAAACAATACGTTAGCTTTACTGATGGACAATAACATCTCCATCACTCTTGCTTAAAGGTCCCATGTCATGGCCATTTCCATATCATAATTCCATTGTTGAGGTCTACTAGAATAGATTTATACTGTGCAATTTTCCAAACTCACATTGGTTTCGCATACAGCATCTCTGTGTAGTATGTGTATTCAGCAGTATTCACTCTCTCCACTAAACGGCTCGTTGCAGCTCTTGCCGGAAAAAATCTGCCACTTCCTTACAGAGCCCCTCCTCCAAACACACACGAACGCGCACATGACCAATGAGGGCACGAGATAAGTTTGTGCACAGATGGAAGGCTGACAGGCAGGTAGGCCATCCAGTTATTTTAGCCGAGCCGGCTCAGATAATTGGTCGTGCTTTTTACAGCGCTACGGCTTCCACAGATGCCATTTTTTTTATGGATTTTTTGTCAAAGCACTTCAGATATTCATTGCTATCGGGATGTTAAGAGCATTCCATGGAATATAACAAAAAGTGTATCTCGAGCCGGTTTCTCAAACTTACCTACCCCACCTTTAAGGATTCATCCATATTCAAACTTTAGGTATAATATGACAGTTTATATAAGGTGGTGTGATCAGAAGTTAAGGCAAGGGCACAGTGTTTTCCCTATATACAAATAGCGTGCCGCTGCTGAAATATGCTCGCCGCTGCTAGGGGGCGCCAGCCAGGTACCAAAAAATAAATAAATGTAATTTTTCTTTATTTTTATAAATAATGATATATATATATTTTTTTATAAATAATAATAAGTGCCGACCCTTTTTGATTGTTTGTTATGTGGATTTGTAGTATTTGTGTTACTGTATGTTGAAAAAGGTGTATTTTGCTAAATCTTGAGACATTGCCACTGTATGTAATAGGCAGGCCATCGGGAGGACCGGGAGGTTTCCCGATGGCCTGGCCTGTTAAGTGGCCTGCTGGTCTGGCGATTTTTTAAAAATTATGTATTGTGAACGCAACGCTGCGCGAATGTGGGTTTGGCTCACACAGGGTGACTGTCTGTCTACATCAGGGGTCTTCAACTAAAATTCAACGAGGTCCAGTTAGAGAAAATCTCCCCATGCAAAGGTCCGGAACATCAAAATGTCTAAGTTGCTTCATGAATTAGTGTGATATATATTGAAGTAGCCTGTAGCTTTATCAACGTCTGCATGTAATCAACAACCGACTGCCAATCAAATAAAGAAAGTACAATTCAAAAACAACAATATTTATTGTCAATTTACACATCATAACAATTGAACAGTTTTAAAGTTTATCTTTCTTTCCTTCTTATATTGCAGTCCTTCACTCACTTTTTTTTTAATTCAGTGCGAGAATTGAGCTGGAGCTTGTCCTGCCAGGAGTTTGTAAATCTGGGCTGAAATGGTGTCAGGGCCATTCTCACACACATGCAGGTGCTCATTGGTTTCAGTGATGCAAACACAGGTATGGTGAAAAAAGAGAGAACTATTCGAAGCAGAAAAAAACAGTGTAATATACCATCTGACAAAGGCCTGTGCTATAATGCTTCAATTAACTGCTGTTCTTTATAATATACTCAGATCAATAGAAGACAGAGATGTTAAGTTATAAATCAAGGGCTTTTATTATTATTTACAGCAGGGGTGGGGAACCTTTTTCCTTTCAATTTTTACAACATCCTCCGAGGGTCGTACAAATTATTGAACTCAACCTCTGCTTAAAAAAACTAAAATCACAGCCCATTCATTTGGCCTTTCTTTCATGCTGTGCAAAGAAAAAGCAACCTCTTAATCCAGATATCTCACCATGACTCACGCATGCATGCACGTGCACGGTGTGGCATGACCACCAAAACAGAAAGATATGGACACAAGATGTGTGCAAATGTGTTTAGTATCCTATCCATGTGAACATGATTTAAGTGGGGGGGACCTAACCTCCTCTAGGGGGGTCCGGGGGCTAGCTCCCCCGGGAAGATTTTTTTTTAAATATTGAAGTTAAAAGCATCAATCTAGTACACTTTGAGAGCAACATTAAGAGATCTATGGATACATCTCTCAACACCCATATGAAACAGAACTGTAAGCATATTTTTCTTTTTGGATATTTTACAAATCACCCCCTTTTAAACTCTATTCTTGTTATTTTTAACAACTTTTTTGTTACTGTATTTTATACCTGTTTTTCATTTAGTCTCATTAATAACTATATTGATCATATCAAGGTGTGCCTTAACCTCACTGAGCTGAGGTTATTTGAGCCTCTCAGGAGAGAGCTCTCTTCCACCTGGTTGTAGAAAAGCTCTTTAAATTCGTTAGCATAGCTAGCTAACCAGATGCTAATAACAACAGATCGCCACTGTGCTTACAACTAAAGACAGCCACGCAAACACTGCGGCATGTGTCCGGCTCCTTATGGGTATTGCAATATGTTAAGGGCTGGAGCGGCGTTCCGGTGCTCAGCACTCCTTTCAGACAAGACATATACCACGTAAAGACACGTTACGCTCGTGTTGTGTTCAAGGAACCTGTCCATGGCCAGGAAAAACACTTACTCGCTTGTTTAATTATTTTTGCGGTCTAGATTTCTTCTTCTTTTTTGAAGTGAGAAGTTGTCCGTCAGTCGGACTGACTCCCTCCCCCCCACCCCCAAAACGAAAACTCTTCGGTTCTCCACGAATTACGCAAGTCACCCAAATCAGCGTTAAAAAAGCGGGAGGCGCCGAAAAATCCCCTATTAATGTATTGATTATAGCTCCGGGTCCGTATAGGTCGGCGTCTGGGTCCGGATCCGGACCGCGGTCCGCCTGTTGCCGACCCCTGGTCTACATTATGTGGCCTGCCGACATGGCCACTTCCATACCGATCTCTGTGTGGTTACTTGTATTTTTGTTGTTAGCATCTGATGCTAGCTAGCTGCTCTAAAAGACATAAGGAGCTGTTTCAACAACAAGGTGGAGGGAGAGTCCTCTGCTATCAGACTGAGAGAGATAAACAGCTCAGGTGAGGTTAGGGACTCTCTGAGTGTTTAGATAGTTAATTTTAGTCCAAGTTATCTCAGTGGGTCTCAAACGTAGGCACACCTTTATAATTATTAGGATAAATAAAAACAGGTTTGAAATCATTCCAATGTCTACTATAGGACAGTAAACCAAAAATATCGTTTAAAGTTGGAGAGATACAAAAATATGCATAAATAAATAAATGTTAAGGTAAAATAAGATATAAATGAACAACAAAAATAAAATAAGTTCCATTTATTTGTTATTGGCTACGGTAGGTTATTGGTTATGTTCAGATACTTATTTGATTATTAAAATGGAAACCGATCTTTTTCATATGGGTGTTTTAGAGTTGTACCCCCTAGATCAGGTCTCTAGTAATGTGTGCTCAAAGTGCACCAGATTGAAGCATTTTACTTTAAAATGTTCAAACAAATCTTCCCGGGGGGGCATACCCCCGGACCCCCCTATAGGATGTGACATCCACCACCCCAATTAAAACATGTTCATACAATACTGATTACATTTGAAGCCATTTTGACATATATTACCTATGTCAATAAGTTTCTGTTTTTGTAGTGTATTTGTCTTTTGTATAGATTTTTCATTTAATCTTTATATATAAAATCTCGCCTAGGGCAGCAAATTGTCTAGAACCGGCCCTGGTACTAGGCCTCAAGAGCCTTTCTTGTGCTGGCAGACTCATAGAAACAAATCGGCGGAGCACTTCGCACGCACTAAAAAATTCCACGCGCTCCGCGCTCACATTATGCTGGGTCCACGTGCCTTAGCACCGCTGCTATGACTCCATCCTAGGGGAAACACTGAGGGCAACAATAATTTTAGCTAATTCATTTATTTAAAAAGTACATTTTCAAGCATTAGACTTTATACATACTTATTATAATGTCCTTTTTTTTATACTTAAAACTGAATTTAAAGAAGACATACTAAGCTAATTTTCCGGTTCATATTTGCACTTTTGTCCCCCTGTGAAATATCTCCATGCTTTAATGTTCAAAAGCTCTTTATTTTTCTTATACTGCCTGTGCTGCAGCACCTCTTTTCACCCTCTGTCTGAAACCAGAGACCAGTCTGCTCTGTTTGGTTAGCTGGCTGGCTCTGATGTGATTGGTCAACTGCTTAGATACGTGTCGGGATTGGGAATGTTCGCCCCTTCAAGTACAATATGTTTGAGTCCTAGCTGATAAAAGCTTGAGTGTTACGGAGTGACATCACCATGTATGTTGGAGAGAAACTCCCTCTGGAGGGAACACAGGGATTTTAGCCTTTGCAGACCAATTACATGTACAAGAACCCTTTATAAACGTGTAGACATATTTTGAATTTTTTTTTATGGCCAGTCTATGAACCAATTAAATATGCAGAACTGAGGACAGTTTTAAAACTTCACTTCTGTGCGTTCTGTAACCTTCAGTTTGTCTGATATAAGATCTCACTCAAGCTTCCTTCTTCTCCAGTACACTGCTCATTGGATTTCTATAACAGCCATAAATACAATGGTTTCTGGAGAATGATGGCTAAGCTTATTGGACAACATGTCCCCCCCCCCCTACAGGAAACCCTCCCCGCCCAGCATCTTCAGTGACAGGCTGCTTCACCCGCGGTGTCTCACGGAGAGATACCCCACAAATACAGACTGCTACAATTTTGTGCATTGTTCTGTGAAAAACATACATTTTTATAATATCTCAACACCTTTATATGTTCACTAAGCTTAGAAATGCTGCTACTTACCAGGGTGACTGTCAATTCTGCTGCTATTAAATAATCCTCAAACATGTCTTCTACTGCTGAATAGAGAATATTCCCATTCAACACAGTATCATAGATTTAGACAAAATATCATAAACAAAGAAAAAGGAACAGAGATTTTTGGCACTCAGAAATGTCCCGATGGGAGCAAAGCTGACTCTGATCTGTATCAGTTTTAAATTCACTTCACCGTTTATTAAGGAAAACGACATCTTGGGAAATTAAAAAGGTGAAACTGATGTCAGATCAGTGCCTTAGGGAACCAGCAGAGAAATAGCCCTGACGCAACACCAAATGAAATGCATCCATCTTTCCCTCCACTCCGAGGAGCCAACAGGAAATGTGTCTCTTTAAAATAAACGTCCTCTCTTCTTCTACTGTGTACAATTCTGCATCACTGATTTAGTAAAAGCATGCAGGTGTTGTCAGAAGGAAGGGGTTTGTTTGAAATACTGAAGCTGGAAGAAGATCCCAAATGATTTAACACAAAGCTGTAAATCCTAATGAGCCCAGCTGATGAGAATCCTTTCTTAGCATAAAACTACTACTTTGATGGAGGGAAAGTCCTATAAAGGGCATCTCAGGCAATGTTAGCACGGCCTGCTCTGGATGCATTTTTGAGGTTTTGGTAACGTGGCCAGTTCTCTGTTGGTGTCTCTTGATCACCTGTTAAAGCCTCTATGACCCACTAGGGGGCGGTATGCCCCCACTGCTTCCATATGACCTGTGGAGCAGACACCACCAAAGCACAGGTGACAGCAGGCATGATGAGGACACATTTTTGTTATGGGTGTTAGTAGTACACAGAAAAACATTTCAATGAGAGTATTTCTCTTAGCTTAGAAAGAAAAACGAGTTTAACAATAGAAAACACACCTACATGTATATCATCATAAGAAGTCATTCAGTCCATAATTACAAAGAGGAATATTTGTTTCCTGTTTCTGACCTGTTCTCTGAGTGCGCTCCTCTGTCCTGTGACTGTTGTTGTTCTGCACTCTCATTGGGGGAACCACCATGGTCCTGACGCCGCGGGGGCTCCTGCCCTGCACTGCAGGGGAAGGCAGTGGTGCGACCATAGCAGCCAAAGATGGGCGGTTGTTGTGGTTACTGTTGTCTAGGTAACGGTAGGGACTGTTGCCACGTGGGGATGTCAAGGTGTCTGACGTGGGGGAGCCCTCCACCGTGTCGCAGCCGCTCTCATGGCCGTCATCCTCGGACATGCTGAACACAGAGGAGAAGTCATGTTAACGAGACTGGAAATAAAGAGTGTGTTTGGAGAACAATATGAGGACACACTACCTGTTGGGTCTCTTGCAGGGGGAGATGGAGGGGCTGGATTGCAGGGAGTTGGAGGCGAAGGAGCTGGTGCTGAGGCTGCTGTCGGGGCTGCTGAGGGAACACACTCTCTCCATAGACACACTGGTGTTTCTGCATGCCTCACACACACACTCCTCTTTGCACCTACGGAGAACAACACATTGGTTCGAGTTATTTAGGCTCAGTAAAGTACAATTAATATAAACAAACATTCAGCTACTGAGATCTATAGATATTATAACTTTTGACGAGGGCTGTAAAAAAGATTTGTTTTCCCTTTGAAGCCTTTTTTTTTAGTTTCTCCGAATTAAGTTTTGGATGTCTGCCGTCATATTCTATGAGACCAACCCAAAAAAAATCCTGAATGTGAATAAAGCGATTTAGATACATTTTTCTATTAAATCATATTGAATGAATATACCTGTCATCTTTATTAACTTAAATACATGTAGGCAGTAGGGAAATCGCCTAAAGGCATCAAATATGATGAAATAATAATTGCACCCTTGGGCCTATATCAAAATTGTGCCAAAACAGAAAAGGCAATACTTTAAAATAAAAACATTTCACATTTAAGCATTCTCTCTTTTTAATGCAAAAGCTTTGCCACAAACTAGCCTCGTGCAGCCTGATAAATGTGAATGTTCAACCTGATCTAGGAAAAATCAACCCTAAAAGATTGTTTCTATTGTAGCAATATAATTGTAGTTTATGGTGCAGTTAGAGCGCTGCTAGATTGTCCTAGCAATACAGGTATGTGCTTCCCTTTTTGTACAACAAGCAGAAGTGTGATTTATTTTCACATCTGAACTTTAACGCTCTACAGTCGTTATCACACGGATCACATGTTGGAAGATTAAGATCACTGGTTGATTTTGTTTATCCCATGTCCATTGCATGTAATGTTACTCACCCCCTCAGACGGCACCTCCGAGGCTCTTCGTCCTCCTCTTCCTCCCCGTCAGTCAGGTCACTGCGGATGCTGATCACACTGGCAGCAGGGCTCGGTGTGTCCCCCATCAGAACGGCCACGTGGCGCTGCGGTTGATTGGACCGGTCCTGCGGGCAGTTCCCAATCGGCGCCGCCTCTTTGAAGCAGCTCACTTCCTCCTCTGCACCATTTTCATCTGCGTTAGGGACTACGGGTTGCACCGGCGGCAGCTCCCTCTGAGGCTGCTCTCGGGGGACCACTGCATGTCCAACAACACTGGCCATATTGGGGGTCCGACATACTGATGTATGGATGTTTCTGGGGTGGGACAGGTTCCTTTAAAACAGAACAGTTGATGTATTAGATCAGTGGTTCTCAAATGGGGGTACGCGGACCCCTAGGGGTACGTTGGAGTACTGCAGGGGGTACGTGAGATTTATTTTATGTTAATGAAAAAAACAAAACATAATTAATGCATTTAAACAAACTACTATTAGTAGGTTAACTACTTTATTCAAAAGTTTACAGTAACTCTGGATAATAAAATGGGAAATGTAAACGGGGTGCTCTCTTTTCCTCTCCCTCTCCTGACAGCCTGTCAGTCTCGTGCAGCTCGCTGAACCTGTAATAAGTGACCCGACAGTAAAGAATACATATATTTATAACTAGTTTAGCTAGTTCCAGAGTAGATAAACTAGCTAAGTGTGTTAGGTCGAACTCTTAGTGTATTTTGCTCCACTCACCGGTCCGTCACAGCGGGGGAGCTGTGATCATACAGAGCTGCGTGTTCTCCGTCAGCAGCAGCTGATCTGATCTCTTGCTCGCGTCCGGTTAGACTTCACTCACCTTTATATCCAAATCTATCAGATCTAGCTAGTTCTAGTTAATTATATGACTGCCTGCTTATCAAAGGACACCTAAACAATAAGCGTTGCTTGGCAACGGCCGCAAAGTATAGCGCAGCATTATGCATAATGTTTTTATGAGGGGTCAAAATCCCATGCTCATAAAATGCTCATACTTTTTTCTCTTCATTCCCCACGCCCAAAAATAAATAAATATACCAATTTTAGGAAAAGTAAGAAAGTTTGAGCAGTGTGGGTTTTATATGAACAGAGTTACACATATTTCAAAACGCGAAGTGTAATAACTGCAGTGGCCTTCCTGTCAGAATGACAAAGATCCTCAGTGAAGCTCAAGCCCATGTTTCTCACTAAATTGTACAACTTATTAAAAAGATCAGTTCAATGCAACTAATGTCGTCTTAGGGTTATTGCATGATGTTAAAATTGGTTTGCATGAATTTAGTGATGGATTGTAAACATTTGAAATGTAGCATTTAAGTGTTTCTCAGTTACAATGTTGTTGTTTTAATAAAATCAGACACTGATGGTGCAGCGCTGTACTGTACCTCTTTATATCGGCATTTTGTCCCTAACAAATAGTTTTTGCGCTGATCAGGGGGTACTTGGCTGAATATTTTTTTCAAAGGGGGTACATGATTGAAAAAAGTTTGAGAACCACTGGTTTAGACATCCATAAAACATTAAAGCAGATTCATTTCCACAAGGAGCACATCTCACCTGTTGTGACTATGTCTGTTCCTCTTATTGGCTTGCTGCGGCCACACAACGTGAGCTATGCCAATGTTGATTGGCTGATGGGCAGAGAGTGCTTGCATCTGATTAGTCAGGAGAGGCTGTTGCATCACTGAAGTGTAATGGCTGCTGTGGGGAAAAAAATGTTATGTTAAAAAAAAGGTACCAAAAAAGTGCAAGAGGAAGATAACGCAGCCCTAGACTTTGGCTAAAAATAAGCAACAGTAATAGAAAATATACTGTGCTTTGATGAAAGCAAATAGAACCGTCTCAATTTATAACAAGTATTCGAAATAAAATAAAAACCCAGTTTTTTATGAAATGTCTCTCCTGGTTAAGCATTAGAGCTGTGCATCTTCACTGTTCTCACGATTCCATTACGATTATCCTGTCAACGATTCGGTCAGAAATCAATAACATAAATGACTTGACATTCAATTACAAGCTAAAAATAAATCAAGCTCTAGCCTCCCTATATCTGTGTGTGAAATTGTTCCATCCTCAAAAACAAAAAACTAATACTTCTGCAGTCTAGCTGCAGCTTCTACGGCCTTCTGTTAAAGAAGGACACTGAATGTCCTGAATGTGGCATCACACACAGGACTTGAGTCTGAACACAGCAGACAACAGGAGTATTTACAACAGCATATAAAACTAAAATAGTGCATGTGGGTGCACACTTACATCCTCTGTCTTACTGTTGTATAAATCCCATGAATGTATGAGATTAAGTTAGCTTCATTATATCTTGATCAGAGATCAACATTTGTTTAAGTGAGTAATAAAGTTTCTATCAGGTCACGATCAGCCTGTCTTTTATTATTTTCAGGGAGGGGGCGGGGTTTGGAGGAACGGAGAGGAGACGGTGATCGCGGAAGCTTTTTCCTCTTTCCTTCACAAACTTTACACACGTATTTATCGTCTGAAAATAGCAAGCGGACATTCATACTCTGCAATCCAAGACTTGATTAAATCCACCAAAAACGCGAGTATAAAAAAAACAAAAAAAAAACATAATTCCATGTGTGTGTCTGAGCCGCAGCTGTGTCGCTGTCACTTCTGTTCCTTGACCTCTGCGTCACTGACCGATTTAATTTTCATGTGACAAAAAAAAAACGTTATTGTCCAGCCGCGGCCGGAAAATCAAGAAGCAACGTTATTAGACTATAATTGATTATGTTCTGTCACTGCATCGATGCAGAATCGCCCACGTAGAAACGATTAATTTCAACACCCCTATTAAGCATATTGAAAGAATGTTGTTTGTGCTTTTTCAGTGTTGTTTTGCCTTCACACTGCAACAGTGATGGTTTGTTTACACCGACGCAAAGAGAGTTCCCCCCCCGTTGTGATTAGCAATAAAGTCAGTATGATGATGATCGCCCAACTCGCGTGACACTGTCTCGCAGAGCCAATCAGCAGCGAGAGTGACGCTGTCATCCCCGACGTGGTGATGTTGTTGAACTAGGAAACAAAGCATTGGTCTTTGGGTCTGGGCAACGGCACACAGAGCTCACAGTTCCCCATGTATGAACAGAAAGTGTGTTTGTTCAAAAATGTATGTGTACAAACCACAGATTGTCTATGATGACATTGCAAATAAAGTTGCTACTTTATTAATGTCTATATGACGTTATTTTGAGTGTAAAACTTGCACAATAACGGGCGGAATCTTCGCTTCTCAACCGGTGTGAGCACACCATAACAGTTGGACAGTGTGTTACTATGGTAACATGAAGTGTCATGTGGACGTCAACGGTAATTTCTTGTATTTTTTTAGACATTTAAAAGAAAGTCAATAGTAGTTTGTCTCGGAAAGCCAATTGTAACTTGTTTTTTTAGTGCATGCATACAAACTGAATTCAACCCAAAATGTTGATGCGTGGAAGTTTCACAACCTGGAATTTCCCATATTACAAGTTTGTCTGACTCCGAACGGGATGACTCACCCCCAGTCACTGATTCTCTGTGGGCCGGCTGCGGTGTCGTTGGTTAGGGAGGACTGGGGAGGAGGTGGAGGGGGGTGAGAGGGCGGAGGTCCCACTGTAGTCATCTGCTGCCAGGCTGCTGGGATGAGCAGCTGCTGACCCCGGCTAGACCAAGCCTGCTGCAGGAAGAAGAGGAGAATCAGAGACCTTACATACCATCTGTTGATCCCATGATCTGTTTGAACTCCCCCACAGCAAGGCCTGATGTCAGGGGTCAGATGTTAAATCCATGTTTAGGTCGATGTCTTACCTGAGCAATTACACCAGGTCTCACTGGTAAGGGCTGTATGGGAGGGGCCTGGGTAACCATGGGAACAGAGTACCCTGCCGGTTGGTTGAGGTTACCTTGTAAAAAGAAAATAAACAAGAAGAAGCATAAAACAAACAAAAAAGGCTGTGCATAACAATTAAGAACACTTTAAATGCAATCTTTAAGATAACAAACATTAAATGACTACAAATAAATGTTTTATGTTATCATTGTAATGAGTGTGCAGTGTGCATACCTTGCATGGGGGGAGGACAAAGAAGGAGGGCAGGTGGGAAGGAGTCTGTGCATGCAAACTGACCATTCCCAGTCGTTAGAGCTATCCCAGGATGCAACACTGAGGGAGCCGACTGGTTCATAGGCTGCATTAGAAAGGAGTAGCAGATGGTGAGTCAAATATAACGTAGAAAGGGAAAATATGAACAAAGATGTATACAGGGAAAGAAGGTAAGCTATCATTCTTGAGTAGCAGAACAACTAAGAACATTTCTAAGATGATATGTTGTCACACTTTTGACCTTAAAGAGGGTGATATTAGGTCATCGGTGAATGGGCAAGATCTAGGCAAAATTCAATACAGTAAGTAAAACATGCCCAAGTCTAACTAGAGAGAAAAAGTTCTAGTAGCTAACGCACACACAGTATTTGTGTCCATCTGCAGTATCTCACCTGAGTGTGCACTGGTATGTTGCTGTAGCCTAGAGGGAGGCCAGAGGAGGCTGCTGTGGCAACAGGGGGTCTTGAAAAATGAATGGTGTTTTGATTCAGAACATCGAAAACGGAGTTGTTGGGCCGAGCGTGGCACATGTCCATGATGCGGAAAGATGACTGCACGCTGGAGAGAAGGAGAGGAGGCAAATTACATAAATGGAAATAAAACTTCAGCCAACATTGCAGGGAAAAAAATACAAAGCAGACATAAGCGTGTAGGAAAGACAACACATATTGTGTCGATGTCAAATTGCAGCCTTACTGGTTGCTGTGTGGGTAGTCCAGCAGGTGAGTCATGGTGAGGAAGGGGTGATTGAGGACGCTGGCGGGAACAGTCCTGTCCTCAGCGTTGATCAGCAGCATGCTCTTCAGCAGGGACACAAACTCCCTCCTGTCAGCCTTCTCTGCCTGCATGTCCCCGGTGTCAGGACTCAGCACCAAGTTCACCTGAGGGGAGGAAGCACAGGGAGAGAAACACACTTCATGTGAGAAACATGCAGGGCAACAGGTGTTATTATTGGAGTTGTGCAGGAATGAGTTTTATCAATTCCAGTTTCGTAGTCTAGAAGTCAATAGTTTTTAAACACAGTAGTCAACCCAAAATAGGTCGGCTACTCATGAATGTCGAAAGCTATGGTGCGTGTTAACAACTGACTAAATAATTCGATGGTGATGTGCAGCCACACGAACTAACGTAGCCTAATGTTAGCTTTTTACTTACTAAACTGAAAAGTGTACCCTGCCTTATGTTTTGTGTAGGATGATTTGAATTTGGACTCACGTGTGCGATGTCTTCCAGACAGCTGAAGATATACTTTCTGGCCTCTTTGGATTTAAGTCCCGTCTCTTTCTCATGCTCTTCTGTTGTCTGGAGCAGGAATTCAAATGATTTTATTAGGAGAAAGTTAAAAAATATAAGTACAATCATAACATACAATGGAGATATGTAAAATAAGCTGATAAGCTTTGATTAGGAGCTGAGACACTTAACAGAAAACATTTAAAATATATAATACTAACATCTAGAACTGGAGAGAGTTCATGTATTATAGAGAAACATAAAAATCTAAATGAAACGTGTAAATGTGTGTGGTCAGAGTGTCAGGCAGTTGGGTTTTTGCTGGGAAGTGCTTGGAAAGATAAACATTAGGCTCAAATGTATTATACATGTATTTAGAGTGAGCTCAGCAGGTAGTCTAAACACGATTTCACATTTCCTGGAGCTTTCCTCAGGGCCTGCTGGCTCTGTCTTGTTTTGAAAAGCTTATGGATCCATTTCCTGTTGCAAATGTACTGCCACTTTGTATTGTATGTCCCTTGCTGCATGGACTTTCCCGTGCATTTCTAATGATGTCCATTCTCACATAACCTGCATGTTCTGTCTGTTTGTGTTTGTGCTTGTTGTGTGCAAGTACTTTGAGTCTCCAGGAGGCGTAGGGAGAGTTGGACTCTTTGGAGAAGAAGCGCGAGGTCTTTGTCCCCTTGTTGAGCAGATGCTCGGCAGGCAGGCCCTGAGTCTGAGAGATGTATCGGATCTGAAGAAAGTGAAAAAATAAAAATTGAAAGTCAACACATGAGTAATAGATTTGAGGGTCGGAATGTTCATGCTGCAGGGATGTTATATGAATGTTAAAGAAGTTATAAGACCATCAAGACATTAAAAAAACTAAACGGAAATTAAATCTCATAGAAAAGTAATTACACAGAACAATATGTTACAACCTTTGGGATTCAGAAAATATATTCTCCCATAGACTCCCAAGAACCAGTGGGAAAACGACAGCACATTCGAACTTGCAAAAACAAAACTGCTGTTTTCCAATCTGTTTTTCTACCAAATGCTAGCTTTGCTTTGCCTAAGAGCAGTTCTGGTCTGCAATGAGGGCCACAGCTCCCTCCTAACAAAACCAGGAGCCACAGCTACCTCTTTACACACCAAGGTAAGGTACAGAACAAGCCCCTGAGACTGATAAACACCCAATGCGGTTCAACCTCAGACCAGCTGTCATGGCTTTTAATAAAATGTCCATGCGATGACACAAAGCAAGTCCTTTATTACCCAACAGTGGAAAAAATCTATGTTACGTTGCATCACCTAATTATATTTATTTTTGATCCAGGCAGGAATCATAAAAGAATAAATAATCAACATTCACTTAATCTATTCAAAAATCGACATAAAGCGCTATCGGTATATCTGGGCATTAACAATAATAGCTCTTGATTGAAAGGCCATGGGTATGTTAAACCCAGGTTAATATAAAAAACAAATTATTAGGCGAGTATCATCCAAAATAAACAATAATAATCCTATTAAAGAAAAAATGGCTCTCATAGGAGCAATCCTTTTTTTTAGCGCTAGTCAGAGTAAACTAAAACATTTTATTAATAACACATGCCTATGTGAAACAATTGGAAACAAACCAAAGGTCAAAGCTAAACGTAATTGACATTTGGCTTAAACGATGAACAATAATTTGTATCTATTTATTGTCAGAGTTAAAAGCATACCAGATTTATAAATATACAACAAAATAGAAATGATGGGGGGGTTAAATTGACATCAGCGAGAGAAAAGCAAAAGAAAGAAAGAGGCAGTGGAAAGATATTAAACAAAATTACATTATGACTACTTAAATAAGGTGTTTAATTTGAATGAAAATTCTATAATTTTACCGAAAATAAAGCCTTAATGTCATCTAATGTACTCTAACTAGGGTTGCAAAGGGGCGGAACATTTCCGGTAAATTTCCGGAAAGTTAAGCTGGGGAATTTTGGAAATATTCGATGCAAAATTTAACAAAAAACTTTTTTTTAACAGAACAAGTTTTAATTATTTCATTGAACAATTATTTGTTTCATTGAAGAACGAAAACAGGAATGTTGAGTTAAATATTACTCATCCCCCCCAACCCCACAAAAATGCACCCCCATCCAAAAATCCCCACAAAGTCCCATTCAAAATGTTAAATGAAAAGAGCCCTTCTCCCTCCAAAAAGTCCCATTAAACATGCACATCTTCCTTCAAGCAAGAGCCCATTGACTGAAAGGGTTTAGCCAAAATGCTAAACCCTTTCAGTCAATGGGCTCTTCCTGGGCTTCTTCAACATCCAACTCTGAGTCTTCCTCTTCAGTGTCACTGTCCAGCCTTGTTGAGGATGGCTCTGTGTCAGGCTCAAAGAGCCTTAGGTTTGCCCGGATGCCAACCAGTTTTCCACTCTCACATTTGTGAGCCTGTTGCGAACCTTTGCGTGGTGTCAATAGCCATGCAGTAAGCAGTGTGCTATGGCATGGATATTCAATTGTACTTGAATGACATCTGTTTGTTTTAGTCAAGATTATGCTAAAATATACTTTCCCCAACTATATTTAAGTTCCCTATGAAGAGCCAACCTTCAATTTAGAAAATTCCCAGTTTATTCCCATGGAAAGTTTCCATCTTTGAAAATTCCCGGAATTTTGTAACCCTAACTCTAACCATAAACAAATTTCCACTTCAAGTGAGAAAGTTTTAGCGTGGATCTCATTTAGGGGGACGGAGCTAATGCCTGGTCAGAATTCTACCGGAGATAAAGTTAAATTCTGCTGTGATAAAACGCCATCCTGTTCTAAACCACATCAAAGATGATTTCTGAAACAGTATGGAGCTCAAATGCTTTTTCTCTTGCGGGTTTATCACAAAGTGAGTTCCTTTTTTAAAATTTCGTGCTTTTTAAACACAGCCGTGGGATTTTGTGACAACCATACGTTATTATTGCAATATACAACTACACAAAAATTATTATTTAATTTTTAATTTACTATATCAGTACTTTGTAGGTTTATATGTACGTAATCTGCGCGACTTGCGCGTCCACATCTCCACGTGCAGTGCTGCATAAACATGGCTGAGTCAGCGATAACTTTCGAGGGGTGGAGGTATGCCCATTACTTTGAGTTCGTCCGAAGAATAGACAGGAATATGACGGTGAGGTGCAAACTGTGTCCAGGCCAGAAGCTGTTATCCACTGCTGGAAACACCACGTCAAACCTCAACAAGCACCTGCAAAGAACACATGCTAAGGTGAAGCTACCGCACATGCTATTTGTTGTTTGTTTATATCACGTAGTCTGTTCTTCTTCTCTGTCTTCCGGTTGTTGCCTGTTTTGAATGACAAATACACACTACCGCCGCCTGCTGGTAAGGAAAGTTATTGCCACTCACGCATGCGCAGTTCGTACGTGCTCGGCGAGTAAAGTAACGAGTTACTTTATGTAGATAGTAACGAAGTAGTGTAACATATTACTTTAAAAAAAGTAATATGTTACATTTTTTTAGTAACGACCCCATCTCTGGAGTTGGCGTTCTCTACTCTGATTTACATGAAGAACAACAGGAGGTCACGGCTCTCTGTTGAACAGGACTTGCGAGTGGCCCTCTCCTCAGTGCCACAAAGGATTAAAAAATTCTGCGCGCCCCGACAGGCACATGTTAGGCACTAATTTGTAAGTCGGCAAAATATTTACAATAGCACATGTTTCAATGCTGATTGCTGAAATGTTACATTTATAATTTGTAGTTCAGGACCATGGACAATGCAGCTTCCTTGCATTGACAGTTTTCTGTGCTGAATTTCTGCTGAGTTTCCTTTGCTTCATTTTTAATTGTGTGACCTGTCTGGTTTAAATGAGTGTGTTGCTGCTTTGATGAAGCCTAATTTGATAACGTTTCAAATTAATTTCTGAAATATTTCGTTAATAAATATTTCATGAGTAATATAGTTGTCTTTGTCACATTTTATTTGGCATTAGTAAATAATTATGCACATTTACAGATATTTTACATGATATGAGTGATAACACGTGTTATAAGGGCTATTTTGCACAATAGGTGTGCCTTGAGATTTGTACTTGTCCTTTGGGCACAAAAAGGGAACCACTGCTCTACAGTACAGGTTAGCTCTGAGTGTTAGCGAGTGCAAAGACGAGATTACGTCCAAAACACGTCAGGCATTGTTTCTGATAGAAATTTTCTGTGGGTCCGCTGCCGATTTGACGTCAGATCGGCAGAAAATCTGTATCCGCTCGTTGTACCCCTGTTTTTAAAAGATTTGGGTACGGAAGAAAAGAGAGAGGGTTTTATTTTCTGACGCTGCGTGAGTTCCCCGACGCACCAGGGACATCACAAAGTGCATTTTGCATGATAGGTCCCCTTTAATGTATATTTTCTTGTGTCTGACGCGTTGTGAGAATGAACGTGCATATATATTTACTTGTGTGCGCGAGCGTGACACGCATTGCAGACAGCAAGTTAACCGCAAGTTTACCTTGAATTTTTGCTGAGGTTTAAGGCATTGGCTACAGACAAACAGTGCCATTTCTCCCACTAGTTCAAGCCATCATACTGTGTGTATGTATTGAATGTGTGTGTGTGTATACAAGTGCTTGGACCAGAGGGGGGTCCCCAAATAAGGTAGATTAATCCAATCTAACTTTATTTATATAGCACTTTAAAACCTCCAGACCAAAGTGCTGTACAGAGAGATACATAAAATATAAAATCACACAGCTCAGCTCACAAAACATTAAATTAATTCATTAATTTAAAATAAAAGATACAAACACAAAACAAACGTAACAATTTCAACAAAAAAAACAAAAACATAAAAAACGATTAAGAAGGTCCACAGCAACGACAGACAACATGAAACACCCTTTAATTTACTGCAACGACATGTCGGGAAACCCCCTCAAGGGGGCCTCATGCATAGCGTGCCGAAACTGATTCTTAATTTCAGTTTTGTTGCTCCGCTCCGGGGGGGGGGGGGGGGACGGACGGACTTTACTGGCATTGATCCGGACCATTGACTTTTTATAAAATTCACAAGTGGACCTTTAACAAAAAAGTTTGAGTACCCCTGCTATAAAACAAAGTTCAAGCATACATTAAGCACAAAACAATAAATAAGGGCACTTTGAGCGTCAGCTATTTGATCCTATCTTATCTTCTACTTTACAACTGCATTTTGTACACTGTCCCTGCCTGCACCATGTCCAATGTTGTCTCTGTTGACAACCCACTAGGCGATTAAACTGATCTTGTATCTTGCTTATTTCTCCTCTTAGGAAAGCGGGCACGGGATGACAGCTTCCTTGACACCATCATGGCGATGGAGTACCGCCGTGCCATGGTCAGCAAGGAGAATGAAGACCTGCGTGCCAAGGAGATGCACGACGAACGGCTGCTGCATTCACACAAGGCCCAGGAATCGGACGACCAGCTGCTCATGGTGATGCCGCGCCATGCTGACTCGGCAGCGTGCCAGGCTGCGCGCCAGGTGGAGCAACAAAATACCTTTCAGGCTGGGCTTCTGGCAGTGCTAAGTGAGCTGATTAAATCCAACAGGACTTCAATTAAAAAAGAAAATAAAAACTTGTTGATAAACTGTACAATGACTTGTTGGGAGGTGTGTGGCGCAGTGGATGAGTGCGTTGGTGTTCAGATCAGGGGAGCACAGGTTCAAACCCCACTGCAGTCAGCATGTCGTTGTGTCCC